GGGGGGAAGGAGAATATCCTATTTATGTATTTTTCTTTGGTTGAATAACATTTTTCTTTGCCCTTTTTTCCACCTTAGGTCTTAAAATTCCTTCCGTTTTTGTGTCCCTGAACCCTGAAAAAGGACCCTTTTTGGGTAGAGCCTTTGAGCATGGGCCTTTCATTACCCACTCCCTCGAGACGAGCGTATTATGGCGCGCTTTCATGACTGCACCATTCCTCTTCAGCGATGATGATCGGTGTAAATTTGATTAATCAGAGAAACACTAAGGCTGGATCAGTCTCCCAGAAGTCTCTCCCTAATAGCTACTTACTCGCAGAGTGATGGGTCAGTTAGGTCGTTTTGAAACTTCCTGTGGAACCTTCGTACGCATTGCGGGCCTTCCTTGAAGTACTCGCTCCCACACAGAGCAAAAGGAAGTATCAAAGCCCCATCATGACAATAAAACTGCTTCCTGAATTTTAATCTGACATCCATGTCTATCCATTCATCGCTTCGCCAACTGTGTTCACAAACCCGAGTGACGTTCTTGACACAAGTGATGAGACTTTCAAAATTTTTGCTGAAACGACGAATTTAAAATTGATTCGTACTATTTTTCTCACTGTATAATCTGGAGTCATTCTTAAAGGACTATATCTTGATTCTGTTAGAGATTTAATGGGTAGAAAGCCGAGTTGAGCCTGGAGAGAGAAACTATCTCATGAAAAAAATATGCGATGCCGGGACTGAGGGGGAGGGGGGGAGGGTAGGTGATGTGAACCTAAGTCTAAAAGAAGGGCCTTTCGTGGCATTACTTGAGGGGCACTATTTCAAACTTCTGACGAGCTCCCCGAAATTTTACATATGGTTACCCCTTCCTTGGGACAGGCTGGTGTGTGTGTGTGTGTGTGTGTGTGTGTGTGTGTGAGTGTGTGTGTGTGTGGGGGGGTAGGTAGGGAATATAAACTTTAGTCCAAAAGAAGGCCCCCCTATGGCATCACTGACGGGCCATGAATTCAAACTTTCGACGAGTTCCCGAATATTTTTGATATAGGAGCCCCCAGGGACGGGCTTGGAGGAGAGGATACGGGATATAAACTCAAGTCCTTCTTCGGAAAGTCATCATGCTTGGGCAAAACTTTTCCTTAAGGAGCTATCTCTTCTATCACCTGCAGTTGGTGGTGCGACCAAGCTGAAGTTCCCGATAAAAAGGAATTTCACAAATGGCACGGGTTTTGTAAAAATACATGTGAAGACTGCAGAAGCCGATATCTCCATCAGTTATTTGAACCACCACTTGAAAAACTGCAAAAGAAAATAAGAGCGCACATTAGATCTTTATAACAATTCTCCTCCACTTCTGTCCTATGGAAATTTCTCATACTTTTAGCTCAAAGAATTTGGTGCCAGATCAAAATTATTTCCCACTTGATGTTTTCTGTCATCTCATCGCCTTTCTGCTCAAAACTGTATTTACATTGTCAAGAGAATTTACCAATTGCTCCCCGAACAAGGAAAATAGTTTGTTAGATTGTAACGTCCTCGCAAGAAAAATGATCGGTGAGTCAGATTTGGAGTCAGCCAGCCAACCTCCTTTAAAGGCCGTGGGAACGAGGTTGTCAGCTAAATCCCGACGCAAACACGTTGAGACGCCGTAAGCTACTGAAATCCATTTACCGACTTCATTTGATGACTAAGAGAAATTAAGAGCAAAAAATCAAAACCCAACCCCTTCCCGGATTCAATTTTGTTCATCAAAGTTTAGCTAGCAACAAAGCTAAGCCGATCGGAGGGAAGGAGGGCTGGGGGTATGTTATGTCAAGATATTGTAAACTGCATCGGTTATAATCTCCTGGTTATGTTGGATCGCATGGAGAACAATCTCCCCTTTTGTCTTATATATGTCTCAACTATTTTTACAGCTGGTTGTAGATCTTTCGGGGAACACTAATTGCTTTAGGAGTGAAAGGAACGCTTTTCTGTCAATTAAAATTTTCAAGATGTTTTCTACGCGATAAGGTTGTCAATTTTTTTGTTATCCAACAAAGGTGTGTACAAAAGAAGTGAAAAATTTTACTAGATGAAAAACTAGTTTGGATTTAAACTGTCACGACATATATTTTAGAATTAGATTTCTGTTAAAAATTCGGACAAGATTCTCTTTCTCTCTTACTTAAAAATGATAAAATATCAAAAGGAGTTTGGTAATTTAATCCTGTTTAGTCATGTACAGGTTAAATTTCTCTTCCCTACCAAATAATTACGAAGAATTTATTTGTGGAGCTGAGCTGAACCTCAAAAACCACAAGGCGAAAACGTCTTTTTCATGAATAATTTTGGAGCATTCTAATTTCATTTTGAATTTAGCAACTTTTTACAAACAAATCTAGATCCTTTAATTTTTTGTCAGGTATGATTCTCGAGATTTTTCCGCGCGAAAAATAAATGGTAACTTTGTTGTATCTGCAAACATCATGAGTTTGGCATGATCGAACGCAATTAGAAAACCTCTTGGATCATCGATATTGCAGGTTTATTTTAAGAGCGAATTTAACAATTTAAGCTGGGAGCCAGTTTCATGATGAAAATGGACCTGATGGGAAATAAACTTTCCGAATTGGCGATTTAAGCCTTACAACATCTAGAGAAGGTTCCAAAAAATGTTCAAGCGCTTCTATAAAATATTCTGACCCAACATTGTCAAAAGTTAAAAGTCTTATATATTTCGGTTTATTTCCGAAGCAATTCTGAGGTTCACTGAAACGGTACTCGAATATCATCCGCAAAATATCTTCGAGGCTTGTTTTTTTTTTCAAATTCAGAGTAAGATTTTGTAAATGAGTTTCTTTTTTTTTTTTTTATGAGATAACTTCGGCTTTTCAAAAGGAGCTTTGCACAATTGGAAAAAAAAGGTCTTTCTGCCGGCTAACAGGCTGTTTTGAGACTTACCTATAATAGAAAACAGCAAAAACAGCATCGAAGTCTGGAAATTCATTTTAGCTGAAGCATACTCGGGCATGACGACTCTACTCTCGTTTTAAGACCTCTAATTCATGGGAGACATGTTAATAGGGTATTAAAGATTACTTAGGCTCCGATCACGTAACAGGATCACCATCATATAAATATCATCAATAATTCTGTAATCACGAGCTTAAAATCAAATTAAAACGAGTTGTATTCCACCGCTAAAACGTGTATACTTTGGGTGGGTTTATGTTCAGACAGTATCAGTGTCTGTATCACAACAAAAGGCCGAAAAAGGCGTCATTCAGGCTCAATAATAAAATTCAACTGTATTTAAAGTAGACACGATCTGGTAGGGGTCTTTTCGCTAAATAAACTGGGTGGCAAAAGGTAACTAGAAAAATCGTGTGTCTAACACTCTTGCATGCTTGTTACCGATTGCGAAATCTTGTCAGGTTTGTGATAAGTCGCTAAGTTTTTTTTTTAATTTCGGTCAGGTACGAAATCTCACATTTCTTTCAAAGTTTTTATCAAAGTCGAAGATTTATTCTTGTAGCCGAAGGTCTCTGTTAAACGGTAACCGAAGTAAGTTAGTCATCGTAGTAAGTAATAACAAACAGATATTTTTTACGTGGATCTTGGTGTCTTGCGAGTCGCGGATTCTACCATACGCTAACCCTTAATTTTGAAAATGAAGCGTTAAAGTCTTATCAGATTTTTCAATCAGAATTCATCTAGCTGTACCACATATTATTTTATCCGAAGGAAAGGAAATTTGAACGAATCAAAGAATGTTGTGGAAAATTAGGTGTGCAAAGAGAAACCGCGACATACTCGCGTGAGCTCTATGATTAGCCACGCGTGACCCAGCGTGAACCATGCGTGTGAATATGCGTGTGAAGTGTGAAAGGTATGGTTACCAAGCATTCATATTGACCTTATGGCGGGGAATATGGAGGAATATGGCTGATGAGTGTGAAGGATTCTCGTTTCTTTTCTCCAAACTCTGCGAGTTATCTTTCCAAAACAAGGCAAATATAGGATGGGATATCTACAGGCGTCCACGTTACACGGATAAAAGGCAAAAGGCTTTGAAAGTTTGCCTCTACGAGACACTTTTCGAAGAACTTCGAGCTCCCTGGATAAGTGAGCTAGTTCGTACTGGCGATGGAGCTGAGGAGAAAGATGGTTTACGATTCAATGTTTATGATAAACTGTCGATCGCTGCATTCAAACTGAGGCTGGCTAGAAGGTTTGATGATGTGGAGAAATTGGATCATTTCGTTTGTCAGTGGAAGAATTTGCAGGGTAGGTTTTAAGTCTAATATATGATGTCAAAAATAAAAAAAATTATCTTTTGATATCGACGCAAAAGGCAAAATATACTTTGTACGCATCGACCGAGCTTTAAAACCCAGACCTTGTAGACATTTTCTCCTGAGCCATTTGTTCGCGAGAGTGACTTGATTACCTTTTAATCTCTGTATTTCATTATAGAAAGATATAACACTTGTATTCCACTGCAGAGACTTCACACTTCTGGTTCAAATTTCCCACCCCAGCCAGGGAAGGCTCATATTTCTTACGGGGGGGGGAGGGGGTGGGTAGGGCTAATGAAACTTTTCATAAGGTTTCCCTAACAGAGCCTCATACTCCATACTCCTGGGTGGTGCACTACATTTTGAAATCAAGTAAAAATAAAGTGTCTTGGCTAAGTTGACAACACAGTGACCTATCTATGCTTGACCTTCCCGATGATGCGCTGCCAAGCATGCTATCAGGAAAGAGCTGCATCTCCCATCTTGTTAAAATTCACTGAGCAAATTTCTGTTTTCAAACAGAGTCCCCAAGCAGTGCCATCAAATTTAACAGCACCAAACAGACAAGCACAACAGAGAAGGAAGCTGTATTGAGATTTCTTGTTGCTTTAACTGGAACAGGGCTTCATGGGTCAACATCAGTGCTTGGTCATCAGGATGACCTTTGGGCTAGAGGACCTTACCAGGTGAAGGGAAGAGGCCATAATAATTTAATAATAATTTATTACTTATAGAGTGCCATTTACAATGACAGATTAACAGTGCTTTACAATCAATCCTAACCCACCCATCCCACCCCAGGGGAGGACATCCACCACACAGTAATCTCATGGGTGGGAAATTAACGTCTCCTTCCCCTAACCCTGCAGGAGACGGGGCTTACGGTTTATTCGTCCTTATCCGAGAAGACTAGAATATCTATCCATTTCTTGATATTATAGAAAGGTAGCAAATTCTCCTCAGTTATTTTAAGACCATGAGTATTGGTCCGGCCGGGGCACGAGCCCTCGACCTCCCGCACAACACAATCCGGCGGAGAGATTTTGTCCAGTGGATTACGTCATAACGTTAAACAACCAGAATCCGGAGAAATT